GTCCTTATTAAATTCTAAGACGATATAGGCATGTCCGTCCGTGTGTCCGTTTGTCTGTATATTCCCTATAGGTAAGGTTTTGAAAATGGGCATTATCGGTCAAAATTTTGCCCTCATACAAGTTGCCCCCCGAAAAACAGCTTTAAAAGTCATGAACGTTTTAAAAATACGAGTCTAGCGACATAAATAGGTTTCATATGAGCCAAAATCTCTCTACCACATTCTATGAGAATCGGTCCATAATTGGCTCCATATAAGGTCCCCTTCAAAAAATTACTTTTACGCTCATGACTGAATTAAAAATACGAAGGAGCTCGGTCCATAATTAACTTAAGCCATATTCCAAATATTACCCTGATGTTTATAGGCATACGATTTGATGGTGGAATGTAAGATTCGGCTAACCGAATGTAACACTCTTATCTGTTTAGTCTTTGTTTCCAATTAGGACACACAATTTACAGTTTTACATAAAGAATATCTTGCATGAGTATGTAAGTACATAACATACGAAGGCGGAAAAAACGTGTAAGTCATATGATGAGAGTAATGTTTTACATTAAGATTTATTACCTATTCTCTATTGGAATTTAGCTCGAATATTATCCAATATCTTAAATTTAAAAACTCTAATAGTTATGCGATTTCTATTATTTTAAAATGAAAATAGTACACAACTATTTTTCTGTCCTTAAGTGTATGTAAAAATATATGTATTTGTCTATGGGTTGGGTAATAAAATTTCTTTGTTTTGTCATTTTCGTTGTTCTTGAAAATGTTTGGTTTGTTATTGCCATTGGTATAACACGACTTTGGTAATTTTTACGCACACTAACAGACCAATAACACTCATACACACACACTTTCCTATTTATCCATATAGTCAAGGTCATGAAATCAAATTTTTTTGTATTATTTTTATTATTATTGTGTTCTTTAACAAACAAATGTTACACTTCTTATATAAACCGTCAGCTGTCGCTGCTTATAGAGATAAACATTTTATTCTACTGCTTAAGTAAAAATACATATTTAGATACAATTTAGTTTAGTTTAACTTTGCTGTGCTTTCTAAATAGTTTTAATTTCAACATTAGAAGTTAAAAATCTTATTTTCACCAACATAAAAGTTTTCTAATTAAGAACTAGTTTTTAGACTTTTTTTGTAGTTTTGAAATTGTAAAATAATAAAATAAAATAAAAGATATTTCTTCTTATTCATCTTTAAACATCATTTATACTTAACCCAGATAAGCAACCAGTTACTGCCCCTGATTTTTTATTTACAATTTTTACATTTTTCACTTAAAACATCATTACTTCCACATGAACAAAAACTCAGCTCAGATCCGTTCGGCTCGGTTGTGTTTATATATACAATAACAACAACAGAAAGGAAAAATATACACCGCATCATCTCTCAGGGATATAATATGGAAACGTACATACATTCAAACATATAAAACTATCTAGATATGTGTATGTAGCTGGTGTTTAAATATGAATGTATGACGTAGATACACTGCAGGTCATTGGAATCAGGTTAACCAACCTTTAAAACTTTTAAGATTTTTCTAAAAATAAATCTACAAAAACGCCAATTGTTTGTAAGATGTTTGTTCTCTAACAAAGTTAGAAAAAACCAAGTTTCTTTCAAAACAAGTAGCAAGTTCACATATTAAAATGTTCGCCGGTGTATTTGGTATTTGATGTGATGTCTTTGTAGGAAAAAAAGAAGCAAAAGAGAAATTGTGCAAATACTTAAATCTGTATGTACTAATGAGTGCATGATTGTTTGTTTGGGCATGTGGCATCAACGCTCCTACATTTTTTAGTTTATGTACTTTTTCTATATATTTATTTTTTCCTTTTTACTATAATTTTTTAACATTCATTTCAACAGAGGTAAAAAAGAGAAAAAAAAAATAATAAATTAACGTTAAATTAGGTTACTTAACGATTTGAGTTTGTTTGTAAATAAATTTTAGTCTTCTTAAATTTATTTTAAACTTTTGATAAGTTTTTTGGAATATTAAGAAAAATTAAAGAGTTCTTTCTTAATTAAAATGTCAGGCATATTTCAAAAACAAAATAATTTAAAATATGAAATTTTACTTTATTTAAATTATGCATATACTATTTGAATTATATGAATTCAATTACCGGATTTTACATAATTCGTTTACTAAGTGATTTAACCAAAACGTCGAAATTTTATGTCGAATAAATCATTGTAAACAAAAACCAGCATAATTGAATAAGTGTTTTTCAAAAATGTCGAATGCGACCGTCGAACACACTTGGGCAATAATTCAAACGCCGATTTCGACAAAACCACACAACCATACTAGTATTTATAAGTAAGATATGGTCTTTCAAGTAATTACTTTGAAAAAAATACTTTGGATGGGGGGATGAGGTCCGATGATTACAAAAATCCTATGATAGAATAGTATATATAAAATTCTGTTAATAAAAAAAAAGTGTGTTTATTTGCTCAATCTAAGTAGACCTTCTCATGGAAATGGCCATAATCTACTAAAGTACATTGCAAATAAAATAAAATCAATATAAAAACAAACAAAAAATTTCAACAAAAACAGGACAGTTTAATAATCAAATGCTTGAAAAGTTTATAAATAATTTAAACATAATTTTGCACTTAAAGAAGCTGGTATCAGGATATGGACGGAAAAGCAATTTTTTTGCTATAACTAATGCTTTTAAATCAATTATGTAATGGTAAAATCAAAATCGATTCCAACTAGTAATCGTCTATAACCAGTGTATTCTTCTTCTCCTAATGTTTTTAGCATTTCTGTTCATCTTCAAAGAAACAAGCTAAATGTCAAGTTAAATACTTATATTCAAATAGCAATTTTAAAGAAACAACTAAATTTTCACATCAAAATCTTATAATAGAAAGCAAAAATAAGGCGTTGTCCTTTAGGGAGTTATTTTGTTTGTTCGCTCTAAGCTTAGAGACATCACGTGCCATTGTACCATAATATTTGTTAAAGCTACAATTAAAATGAATTGTCAACATTTTTTCGTGCAGTTAAACTATGAGGAAGTAAAAAAAAAACTAAAAAGAAAACAAGTACAATAACAAAAACAATTCCTAACAGTTTTTCTCATTTCCTTATAGCTGAATTTGTGTACATGACTTGCTGTTAGTCTTGTTTTTGTAAATCACATAAAATTGCACTCTTGCAATTGCTGGCAATAACAACACTCACCCACTCACATTCCCTCCCATATAGCTATTAAGAAAAATTAACTTTTTCTCTATTTTCTTGTTTCATTTTAGTTTTTGTTATTGTTGTAATAGTAGTGTCATCAAATAATTGTATAACGCAGTAATAGATTTGTCTGTGTAGGTTGTACGTATATAAGAGGTGTTCAAAAAAATTAAAAAAAAAATATCTGAGCAAAATCTGTATTTTGTGGACACCTCTAATGTATATTAGAGAGCCCCGAGGAATAGCCTTTTTAAGAATTTTATGTAACAATACCTCCCAATCGATGCGTATCAATGTACATACTAAACACGAGAAAAATAAAAAATAATTCTTTTTGAATGGTCCTCAGTTCCAGCGATTGAAAATCCTGACCTCTGGTAATTTTTGAAAAATAAAATAACTTCAATTTTTTAAATGGGTTTTAAAAATTCAGTAATTTTTAGCTGTGTATGGGAAAATTTGGTCCATAAAATTATTTCGTTTTCGGGTTTTTTGCTTTTTATCGAAAGAGATGTCAAAATTGTCGTGATTTTAGCTTATACAGAAAATTAAAAAAAAAATTTAGCGTTTGGTTGGTCCATTTCAGATTTTTTTTTTTAATTTTTTAATTATTTTTTCCGCAATAAGCTCAAAATTACGAAATTTTTGAGACACATTTCAAAAAGATTGTCGAAAATTTTTTGAACATATTGCACTGAGATGAAGATTTTGAATCGCAGGTAGGAAACTGAGGACAAAAAAATAGTTTTTTAATTTTTTTGTATTTAGTACATTAGAGGTATTCCCCCAAAAAGTGAGCCACGGAACACCCTAATATACTCATACTCTTCAAACTGACTGTGATGAGTTTTAATGAAAGTAATTTTTCCCTCTGCTGATGTTGGTGCTTCTTGTTTCCCTTAACAGACGACCATTTGTCTTAAATGTGTTTCATATTTGTCTTTTCCATTTTCTTTACTCATTCATTCTTTTGTTTATTTATTTCGTTTCATTATGTAACAACTATTGTATAATCAAGGAACAATAACAATAATGTTTTTCAAAAACTGAAGAAAAAAAAGAGCACAAAGAATTTTAAATTGTAATTATCTTTAATAAGGATAATGTGCTATATTGTATAGACATTAAAAGTATATAATAAACCATTTGATGTTGCGAGTAAATATGCTAACGAAACATGAAAAAAAAAACAAACAGAAAAGTATTAAGAAATTTAAGGAACCTATATTTCAACAAGAACACAGTCTATCCATTGACATGTAATTATTTTGAAAAGAAAACTTCTTTTCATATGTTTTTATTTTACTCTTCGCATTGCACACTACCCAATGAAGCATAATAAATTAATGACACATTTTTTCATTTGGATATTAGTGCTACTATAAGCAGTTATAATTTAGTTTCTTTTAGTACCATTTACAAGAGTAATAAGTTAATATTAAGTTTTTCAAACTATTACATTAGAAAAATAATAAATTTATCGATTGAACATCATTTCTAGTACATTTCTAGTTGTTGTAACCATATTATTTAAAGTTCAAATGACTGTTGCAATAATGTTTGGTGCAATAATTTTTATATTTGCGTATCCTATAACAATATTATGATCTTCAATGTGATAATAATATATTTGAGAGATTTCTATTGGATCAATATATGATAGCCGTAACCATGTCCAGTGACAACTTTTGTATGAGATCATTAATATGAATATAAATATAAAAAAAAACAAATAAATATTTAAAGAAAATACATCACCCGTCAAATGATGGCCTCTGCTGATCTTTCAAATATTGCTGTTGATCTCTGGCCAATTTACGTTCCGCTAATTTCTTTTGTTCCTCTTTCTGTTCGCGTTGCTCGAGCTGATGTTGCTGTTGCTGCTGTTGTTTCTTGCGATGCTGGCGATCCTCGCCCAAACCATATAGGCCAGCAACAGCAGCCATGTTGCCTTACAAAAACAACAATGTCAAAAATACCACAAACGAAAAAAAAATATCACAGCACTATTCCGTTTTTTATTTTTTTATGTTGCACAAACAACAAATACAATTAATAGTTGTTTTAAACATTTTGAACTAATAAAAATTAAAACTACAACAAAAAGAAAAAAAAAAACAAATTCATCACATATCGAAACGTATTTGAAATTTAAATTTAGGCATTTTCTCCTTAGTACTTTTTTTGCTGCTACAACGTTCTAAAGAATTATATATGTATTTTATAGCCTACTTTCGGGCATAACATTCTTTTAACTTTTTACTTTGTGGCTTTCTTTTTTTCCTTATTTACTTTTGTTTCTTTTGCCATTTACTTTCTGATGAGGTTAAGCCTTTTTTCATTTCATTTTTATTGCTGCTGCATATTTTTTATTTAATTATTAAAATGTAATTATATTTTTTCAAATTTTCACACAGTATTGTGCTTTGTTTTGACACAATGCTATTGCATGGTTTTTCTAACACAAACAATACGAATTACAAAATAAAACAATTTGTTTATTGTGTTTTTGGTTGTACTCGTAAATACGTGAGTAAACGTTAGTTTGTATTTACATTTTTTATCTGTGTTGTTATGCTCCCATCCCGCCCATTTCCTTAATGCATGTGGTTTTATGATTTTATGCTGTCACGATTTTTCTCTTAACATCCTAAAACCTCACTCTTTGTCTTATCATTTAAACAGACATTCACACACAAACATGCATACATGATAAACGTCAAGCAGCACGAGATCAACACACATTCATGTGTCTCGTGTTTTGCTTTGGTTTTATTCACATTTTTTGTTTCGGCGTTTGTGTTGTTTTTTTGTTGTTGTTTATATTTTGCTTTTGATTTCGTTGCCATTAACCGGATGTCATTTAATATGCAAAGGCATGACATCTATTGTAAACGTTGTGCACCCACTCACACAAACACACCAACAATCTATTGTACGAGTACTCATTCATGACCTGCACTGTACTCGTGCCATTGTATTCGAACAAAGTAGATTTTGTATGCAGCTGTTTTTTGTTATTGTTTAATATCAACCAACTCAAAAGACAATTGCACATAGGGATTAAAAAAAATTCAAACTATGAAATTCTCCAACAATTGCTATTAACAAGTTAATTTGATAGTATGTACAGTATTTTTCTAAACAAAAAAACTTTTCCTTCTCTTTCCATAGAGCAAATTTCTTGAAATTTGTTACATGTAGTAATATCTATGAGCTAAACTCAAAATTTTGCATTGCTTTATCCATGCGACCTACATAGTACGCCCCATACCCAAGTCATTCTATATAAAAAAGCATTTCCTGTTATATTTCAGATGGACATTAGTGCCACATGACACTTCCATATTAAGAACTTTTAACGACCTTCAATAAAATAGCCAACTTCAATACTATCCAAATCATTGAGTTCCTAAACATTGCACTAATTTGAAAGCCATTTGAAATGTCCATGGGTTTAACAGGATCAAATTTAATGACATTGTTTCCGGTGGAGTCGCTCTTTTAGTTGTTGCATTTTGTCAAACTTAACATTTCCTTTTTTATTAATTGGTGTAAATGCTATTAAACTTTTATAGATACAATTAATTAGTATTAAGTAAAACATTTGTGAACTTAATTTATAGGACTTTGATCAGTTTATAATGGAAAATTTCATAGGTTTCGAACAATACTGTATATTTTAATGACTGAAAGTATGATTGAATTGCTACTTAAATAAATACAAGTAATACAGAAATAAAGGATTTTAGCAATTTTCGAAAATATATGTGAAATTTATGACATTCTTCTACATGAGGTCAATCTGAATTAAATTATTTAATTTAAAATCGCAGAGATCGAAAATATAGTAGTGCAACATAAATATTATTCGAAGTCAATTTTTTTGTGAAAATTTTTAAATTTTTTATAAGAACTCTTTTGGTTTTTATTTAAGTAAATTAAAAATGAAAGCTTTAGATTATTTTCAGAGGACTTTTATTAACAACCTTGTTTTAATTATTATAATGAAAACTGAATGGGAATGGTAATATTTTATAGAAAATATTAACAATTCAAACAATACAATTGAAAAAAAAAAAAAATAAAAACAAATACATATACATATTTTTAGTGATTGACGTCGTTGGTATTATGTCATAAAATAAATAAAAAAACCTTTATCTATGGATTAATATCAACACACAATTTAACATTTGACATTTCAATTAATGTTTTATACAAAAAAAAAAAAATGTTTTTTTTTTTCTATTTAAAACTTTATTGAATAGTGGCATAAAAACCAATAAAATTACTATTTGTTACTCTATTTTTATATGTATGTACATATGTACACAACAACAAGAATATTTTTACCAAAACATTTGCGATAAGAAATTATATAATGACAGCATGTTTTGAAAGGGATTTAATTTTTTTACATGTAAAATGCAAAAGTGTTAGATAATAAAATCAAAAATAATCCTCAATTTTTCTCAGATTAAATATATAAACCATAAATTATTTATATTTATATACATATATTGTAAAAACAAATATCTCAGATTTAGTTGCATACGAAGTTTTTATACATTTTTAACTTTTTCGTAGTTAAAAACAATTTCAATAGTTGTTAGCAGTCGTATTGTTTTTCTCTCTTTTTTGTTTTTTGTGTTCAACTCAAAATCTAACAAATTGAATTACAACGAGTAGATGGCATTTTGGTCTAAGTATGTTTTACGAGTACAAACAAGTTTTGTTTTGTTCAAGAAATTGTAAAAAATAAAAAATAAAACTGAAATACAAATTTGTATGTTGTTCTGTCAACATGTTTTTTGTTCACATTTTCATTTTCATGTTGTTGTTTGTATATTGATTTTCTGTTTTTTTATTATTGCTATCGCTGTAGTACTTGTTGTTGTTCTGTTATTTTAATATCAAATAGGAAATAAAATAAAAATGTTGTAATGTCATCTATTTCCTAAGGGGTGGGTGGCTGTTTGGCTGGCCGGCTAAAACCTGTTTAACCCTTAATGCTCGCAGTATTTTAAATACAGTTTTTGTAACATTTTGTTTTATGGTTTTGGGAAAACTACAAAAATGTGCATTTGACAGCATATTATTACATTGAATTTTTTCTAAATATTAAATTTAATCTCAACACCACTTATTTGCGGTTCATGTCACCAAAGAACTTGATTAAAATTATATAATATTCTGTATAGTGTGTGATACTAATGTTTAAAGTTTACAGCATGAGTAAGATCTTTTAAAACTGTACTTTTCATTAAATTCATTATAATTAACACTTTATTCTAGTTTTCATTATCATTAAATGTCTCTAGTGTCCCTCTGTTGCGCACACATTTAATCAACTAATACTAAAATTATAATTTTCTAATTTACTTATTGGACATTTTTCTTACCACAGTCTACACTTGCAGTCAAAACATGTTTTTTATGTATTTATATGTGCATTAGGGTTATAACTTCTATACAATTTTTGTCAATTTTAAATCGGCCCTATCCATTCCACATAGAGCATAAATTTATACGTCGAAAAAGTGTATCACTTATTCCCGAGCGTTAAAAAAGTTTCCGTTTAGTTTGCTCTAAAAAAAAATTATAAATTTTTTAACACAAAGCCGGAAATTTTCGATATAAACAATTATCACTGTTTGACCACGACATACATACGAAGAAAAATCAGGGATAGGGGCTGCTTTCCCCCCTTTATTAAAAAATTCAGTAAATGTGTTTGTGAATGCTTTTAGAAATTCGATTTTCCGCGAAAGGTTTTTGCACCAAAATGTCCCGAGAAAAATATTTTCGTTATTAGAACACTACTGGCTTCTACGTAGTGATAGGGCCTAATTTTGGTTATCACCCTAATGTACATTCAATTCGTTATTTCTTGCATTTGTATCAATACGTATACATGTGTAAATCTTCAGTAAAGTGATTGTCATTTAAAGTACATTCACTTCACAATACACAATGATACACACATAAACAAACGTACGTTACATTCTTGTTTATTACTATTATTAACACCCATACTTATACTTAAACAATACTTCTCGCTGTGGTTTAATAATACCAGGACCCTGCAATTTAAAAGGCGTCAATGAATCCCTTTTAGAAAGATAATTCTAACCTCAGTACTTGTTAATATTGAAGATAAGTAATATATTCGAACGATAGTTGCTCATTGTAATTAAAGTAAAGTGTTATTGAGTACGGTGTGGGAGGCACCAACACTTTTGAATATAGTGTCTAAATGTATATAATACACATCGATACTTTATTATAAGCTTTATTTAACCTGCATGCATTTTATTGGCATTTTCTTTATTAGGTAGAAATTACTATTTGCAGGTTTAAAAGGAAATTCCTTGTAAAAAAGGGCTTTGAAAAGGAAACTTAACAATACGTAAAATATGTACTATGTATATGAGAACGGAAAGGAAATACAAACATAATTTTTCATTTTCTATTGTTTTACTACTAAAGCTGTATTTTATAGTAATTTGTAAGTATTTGCATTTTTATCATTATCATTTTTTATATAATGTTTGTTGTTGTTTTTGAATAAAATATAAATTTTAACGTTTGTTTCTGAAAGTTAAAACAAATATAATAAATTATATTATAAACAAGATACTATTTGCATTTCAACAATCAATAACGTATATATTCAAACAAATAAATAACCCTCATTGATTGATAAAAAATAAAATTAGAAAATATTAGTTAGACCAATATACATACATGGGCAATTTCATGTCAAGTGAAACAACTCAAAATATCGATTTGGATGAAATTTGCACCAAGGTTAGTACTATTGGATAGTCAAGAACTGACGGACTTAGAGGGGACCCTATCTATTCCGCATAGTGTATAAAAAAGTACGTCGAAAAAGTATCACTCTTTCACTTTTTTCCTAGCATTAAAAAGCAAATGCTTCAAAGTTTTTCATATTAAGTATTAACAAAATGTTTACACTTTAATTCATTGTTATTGTTTAGCCGGCACATCTAAAGGAGAAAAAGCAAGGATTAGGGCTTTGGTTTATTCTTCTTTCAAATTTGGTACCCAAACTTTTAGATTGTACTAATAAAAATACGTGTTAATTTGTTTGTAAATGGTTTTAGAAAATCGATTTTCCGAGAAAGATTTTTGCACCAAAATGACGAGAAAAAGGTTTTCGTTATTAGAACACTACTGGCTACCGCGTAGTGATAAGGCCTATATGATAATTTTCTGAATCAAGGTATAATTATTATTTTTTTTTAAGAGCGAAAATAACTAAAGCAAAAAAACCTTAATAATCCTCAAAAAAGTATTTTTACTATAAAACTTATAATCGTTATATTCTGTGATCATAATAGTAACTAAAACAAATTAACAAAATAACTCAAATAAATTAAAGTTACTGTTATGATATTTTGACTATTTTACTGCTGCTACAACTTTTAG